GTTAGATTCTGCAGGGCTGTTGCCAATGATTTGGTGCCTTCAGCACCCACACTGTTCCCTTCCAAGTCGACTTGTAAGTTTTTCAGCTTTGGAAGGTGGCCAAAGGATCTTGCAAGAGACGTGACTCCACCAGCACCAATTCCAGTGCTCTTGAGTTTCAAGACCAAACAGGTCAGGTCTGGTAGGTCACCAAAAAAGGTATTGTAGATGTCGAATTCCTTCGTCTCCGATTGAGAGCTCATTGAAATCCAACACCACCTCACCTCAACGTGAAAACAACTTAAAGGATGCATAGATATATATTGTTTTTTCTTTGGAAGCGTTAAGACTAGAGGAAAATGCTGGCAAAAGTGCTTGGCAAAAGTGCTTGGCAAAATTTTGTGTTTTCCCATATCTATTATATATAGTATAATACTGTTATATAATATTGTACTATTGCCAGTAATCCAGTAACTTAGCTAATGTTATGGCCCGGGCTGGGGTGGGTGGGGCGGCCCGGGGGCCGGGGGCGGGGACAAGGGAACCACGAGTGGGGCCGGGCACGGCGGGCGCGCTGTCGGGGTATAGAGACCGAGCGAAACGGAAGCTGGCGGGCAACGAGATTCAACGAGGACTCAACGGGGACTCAACGGGGACTCAACGGGGATTCAACGCGGACTCAACGGGGACTCAACGGGACTCATCCGGGATTCAACGAGGACTCAACGGGGACTCAACGGGACTCATCGGGGACTCAACGGGGACTCAACGGGGACTCAACGGGGATTCAACGGGGACTCAACGGGGACTCAACGGGACTCATCGGGGATTCAACAGGGAATCAACGGGGACTCAACGGGGATTCAACGGGGACCCAACGGGGGGGACTCAACGGGGATTCAACCGGTACTCAAAGGGATTCAACGGGGACGTAATGGGGATTCAACGGGGATTGAACAGGGACTCAACGAGGATTGAACGGGGATTCAACGGGGACTCAACGGGGATTGAACACGGATTGAACGGGAACTCAACGGCAAGTCAACGGGGATTCAACGGTGACTCAACGGCAATTCAACGGGGACTAAATGGGGATTCAACGCGGATTCAACGGGGACTAAATGGGAACTCAACGGGGATTCAACGGGGACACTAAAAATCAATGAAATCCTTGATTTTGATAATTTTGATGTTTTTGGTTGATAAGAATACGCCGCCCCCCCACGTTTCGTCGGTTCACTGTGCAGCTACAGAGCACAACATGGGTGTCAGGTGGATTATGTCACGTCGAATCATAAAAAACACATGCATTAATAGAAGAAAACTTCAAATGTCCTTGAAACAACGCAAAAAACATGCTTTCGTAGAGAAAAGGTACAAAATAACACCCAAAGGCCGCAATCTTGCTACCTTCCTGCCCTGATTCTCAAATTCTAATGTTAACGCTTCTACGGAGGAATCAAGATATATATGTATTAGTATATATATATATATATTTCATGAAATGTTTGATCTGCTAACAAAGTGTTCGCACAAGAATGAATCTTACTTGTGAGCTTCTCTTCAAGGCTTTGACCGATCACTTCCCCCGGTACAGTGCGCATCGCATCAGCCTCCATTCACAAGTCATATGTTCTGGCTCAAAGTGAGTGGCCCAACAAGGGCATCAGCATAGAATCTGGGTATGAATCAAAGAATCGTAGCCTCCAAATGTTTTGGAAGGAAGAGAACCCCATATGAATACTGGCTGCCACTAGCCCCTGTGTCATCATTTGCTCGGGCCCTCAGCCATCTAACTACTCAATGAGGGCATCTGTGAGGCATGATCAAGTATCCTTCCAACACAAAAGAATGCAAAGCACTCCCACCTTCAAGCCCTGCATGAAGAAAGATATTGTGGGATGCTTCACCACTGTGCCCTGACACGTCCGTCCAGTGGACAACATTGTACTGGAAAAATGGCCCATATTTTACAATTAACACGAAGAGCTTACTGGAGAGCCTAAATACTGCTTAGTTGCTCACTCACTTGACCTGTGCACCTCAATCTAAATGTACACCTTCCTTCCATTTCAAAGATGCGCAACACATGTACAAGTGACCTCTTTGGCCAACATCGTCGCGTTTGCCAAGCGCCATGCAGCTGCCGCACACAAGTCATTGTCTTCTAAGTCGATCTGCATCGCTTGCTCCGATGCGTGCAGGACCTGCACACCCTACACTTCACAAGCAAATCATTCTATAGAACTGGCCTGTGTGCAACTGTCATGTCACATTCTGCTAGAATAGACCAAACATTGCTGAATCACTCAGAATCTCTTGCAGCAGCGTACGAAGATAGGATAAATAGTTGACGGGCTGCAAAATGCACCTTGGAAAGCGCCATGGCACCCTGCTGCAAACACATGTTGTTCTCCCGCAAAGAGATCTCCGCAATCACCTTCTGAGCCTTCCACAGCAAAGTTGTGCTACGTTTCTGCAGGATGTTTCTCAACAACCTTCCGCAACCAACAGAAACATGTTAATTCACTTTGCGTTGCATTGAACATCAAACTGGAGGAACCTGCAAAAGGGTGAAGAGCGTCAAAGCAGCAGCATCATCAAGATTGTTGCCAGGAAAACTCAGCCTTGTTACCGTCTGCATGTCACTCAGCACCTGCAGGGCCGCAGTTCCTACACGGCGACTCTGTGACACTCGTAGCCTTGACATGTGCTGGTTGCTGGACTGTTCATGTCAAAACAATTTGCAGTATTCTCACTCGGATGTAATTAGAATACACAATCATTTCTAAACCTCAGCTGCAGCAGGTGTAGAAGGCCCAAAGATTCGGTATGTGAAATGTGTGCTCATTGGTTGTCAGCCGGGTCCTTTCAGTAAAAGCCGTGGAGGACTAAGCGTGATATTGTCGGTGTCTGAAAAAATTGGTAGCTCAGTTCATGGCACAAATCAGCATCACGCCATACCATGCCAAACTATTGTAACTACATATGGTTGGAAGAAGGCCTAAGTCTGTGACATTCGTAGGCTTCACACAAAACAAATTACAGAGTCATCTCTTCTTTGTGGTAAACATCTCCACTTACGACTAATAAGCCAACCCAAATTACAGCTATATAAATGTTTCTGACAAATAACACACAGTTGCAGTAAATAATTTGGGGTTGAGAACACATATTAAGAAGAGAAAAGGATGCTCTAGGCCTCAGTTGTTTCAACGTTTTCAATCACTCACGTTTTCAATCGTTGCTGAAAGATGTCCAACAAATATTAATTATACGCGCTATACATATGATTGTTTTTTGTGTTAAAGAAGGTATTTGTTTTTACTCATTCCATAATTCCAACAATTGTTTTAACGCACCATTAAATGGAGGATTTCAACGGATAGCTTCACAAAGGGGGGTCGAGAAACAAGTTTGAAAACAGAAACAAAACACAAAGAAGTACACGAACCTTTTTTGGAGGAACACAGCATGGGCTGTCCTATGAGCCTTTCTTTGACCAGAACATGCAGCAAAAGGACATGGGCGGGATCACTAGGGGATCCAGCAAGGAACAGAAACTATAGGATCCAGGGTTGTCAACTATGCAAATCCATGAGGGAATCCTTTTTGGATACATGAGAAATGGCATTAACGTGCATTAACTATTAAGAACCTCCCCTAACTAAATTGGTCCAGCAATGGGTGTGCACCATTGTGCTAGGCAAATGGGCAGGCAAACACTAGCACTTATGATTGTCAGGGTGACATGTTGGGTGTAGCTGGGAATGAGGTGCGGATCTTGTTCGAGGGAAAATAGCAAGGAACAATTGGCACCTAAATGCATGAAGAAAATGTATTTGGCCAAGATGCAGGGTGATGAAAAAGTATGGATATGGCCTCAGAAGACATTGTATGAAGCATAACAGAATAAGCCATTCCTTGATCGAGGCCTGATGAGTGAAGAGCTGGAGTTGGTATCAGTAAATGGAGATCGAAGAGACCACTAAGGAATCAAACAAACTGATGAGGTGGGAGATCAAACCATAGTATTGGGATGGCTTTGCATTCAACTGACAGCAAATGTCAGGCAGATTTAACCACTTCAGGGGTTCATTGGCGTTGATTGGGTATACCTCGCATTGACACCAAGGACTCTACTCTTGCATGATCAGAATGACGGGGACATTTGCGATACTGGCCATGTAAAGAAGGTGCTG